CATATATATATATATATATAAATTGAATTTTGGGAAACTAACGGTGCTGCCAACTTTAGAAAAAGTCATCCCAATTTACTGTGTTAACTTGGCATTGTACAGAAATGGACAGCCATATTGGTCTAGAAATGTTAATTTATTTTATTTTATTTTTTTTCCATGTGTACAGGAGCATTGTTTTATTGTTATCATCTGAGAATCATGTTGAACATTTCAAAGCCCTTTATCTGTTTTATTTTCCATGAAGTATCTCATGTGCTGTGCACACAACCTTCTCTAAGGAGTTCTGAACACAGTTGACCCTTCCTGGGGACCCAGTCCTGTTTCCAAGTGTGGGTTTCTTGGTTGCTTGTTGGAACAAGGGAACATGGGAGACACGGCCCTGCTGCAGCTCCCAGACTGTGGAAGGGGAGAGAGGTTGCTGCCTCGGGCTGAGATAGTGATGAACCAAGGAGGACTGCGCTCCTTCCTTACCTTTACCATGTGCTGTAAAGTAGGGCTTCTTTCTCCTTCCAGTACACCCAAGTCACTTCTGATCTACCACCTGCACCAATCTGCTCTACTCCAGAACATTTTTGAACATGTAAATTTGCTTTAGCGTGATCAATATATTAAGGCATTATTTGAGGACAATTCAAACGCACTTGCTCCTTACACATGGTTTTGTTACCGAGAAACATGAGGTCGACTCAGAAAACCGCATGCAGCTGAAACTAGCTGTGTAAAAGTATATATAATGCATGCATGGGCGAGTGTGCATGCACATACACACACACACACACACATACACACACACACACACACACACACCACGCAGACATCTGTGGCTGCCCTCACTGACCTCGATTGAGTTCCACATTACTCACACAGGCTGTTACAAGTCTGCTTCTGGAATCAGATAACTCTTCTCCACTTGGCAGTGTTCACAAGCTGTTGTCATTCCTGCTCAGACTTTCACAAGCTCAGTGCAGGTCTTTTGCAAGTAAGTGTATTATTTGTGTATTTCTTCACCACTCAATGTGTGTGAACTGGGCTGCCATTTTAAGTACACTTCTATCTTTTTCGGTAATGAGTACAGATTCACATTCTGCTGAGACTTGTGAAGGTTTCGTGTGTTGTGCCTCACCCATTCCATTTTCTAAGCTTTGTGTTTTTATTACACTCTTTTGCACAGCAAGGTGACTTTTCGGAACACTCGTGTTATAGACTAGGACAGCTGACTGCATAGCAGATTCTAGGGGGAAGAAATCTGGGCATAGGTGATGCACGGCATTTTCCTTTCAACTCAGAAGCTAGGGTTGGGTTTGAAGTCAAAACTGTTTGTTTTCCAAGATGAACTTTAAACACACGGGGACCAAGCCTCTGTCTCTGAATGCCTGGTTCCTCTTCAGTCTGCAGATCCAGAAAGGCTTCCTTCTCATCCCAATGCTTTTGCTTCCATGACCAACTCCTCCCCTAGCCCTTCCCACCCCCAGCCACTCTGCTGCTGATCAAGTTTTACTGTTACATTGCAGTATCTTGAAATTATCTTATATGAATGGCAGCCAGGCACATATTAAATTCTACCAATTTTTACCAGCCCTTCGAATATATGCTTCACGAAGGCAGATCTGCCTTTTTTGGCAGCTCTATCACCACCACCTACTGCAGTATCTGCTACATTTGGGTCAATAAATAACTGTAATTTTAAAACCACAGCTTCCTCTTTGTATATTTAACACTGAATGTTTATAGTCATCATTTCGCTGTGTATATCCATCTGGAATCATTTTGGGATCTTCCCTCCATGCCAGCACCAGCCAAACATGCATTTTTCAAAATCCTATTCACTCCTCAGCAACTGGTAAACAAATTATATAATGGTTCAGAAACCAAACACAGCCCTCTGATTTTTATTCCAGTTTCTAGCCAGTATTTTTCCTTTCTTTTTTTTTTAACTGCAATTATTTCACTTAGATTAACATCCAAGAATAGCTCCCTGTGTACTGCATCTTTAGTGGTAAGGGAGGAGAAGGGCAGGAAGGTGTTGATTCCTGATAAACAGCAATCGGACGTGTAATTAGAGGTGCTGGCTGGGTTAGGCCTGACCCAGGGAGCCCCTCAGACCTCACTGCTAAATAAAATAGACCAGCTCACAATGTTAAATGGAAAACCAAGGGTTGAGTCTCATCAAACATCTTTCTAGTGCCCCCTAATGGCAATGTCCTGTGCTGGATGCCAGAGGAATGAAAATGAAGTGAAATAAAACACCTTCTCATAAAGTAGCTTTGAATCCAGCAAGACAGGCATGAGGTGCCACGCATCAATACGGTGACGTTAAGTTCTGCATGTGTGTTCTCTGTGTGTGAGAAAACTGAAAGGAGCAACCCTCCCGGACTAGCATCTTTTACCCAGGAGACTGCTGACCAGTGGACGGAATTTAACAGGCACCTGCATTTCAAGACAGCCAAGAAGGGTTCTGTGCCTGCACTGATGTTTCACCCAGATACAAGGCCCAAACAGTGCCCAGGAGATGCCACTTAGGGACTCAAGCCGCATGGCTGGATAGACTTGGACCCAGGCCACACCTGCATTTTTCCACTAACTTTTTCCTTGTCTATTTGGGGCTACTGAGAATGCCTCACCCACTCAGAATACCAGCGCTACAGGGAGTCTTCCTCCTCCAGATGTTATGCACAAAGACACTGATGCTTTTGTTCCTTAAAGGGATTTATCAAGGTAGCACAGCTGTCCCAGCCAGAAGGAGAACACCCCTTCCTGGACCCAGGCCTGCAGCTGTTTCTTCCTATTCTGCCTGGGAGTCTTAGCACTCTCCAAGTTTCCATTCACCCCATGCAGATTCGGCCCTCTGGGGACTATGATGTTATGCAGACATATCAGTGGGATTGTTTCCTAATTAACAATTTATAATTTTGAACTGATAACAATAAGCATGTTACACTTTCAAAAGTAACCACTTTGAGTTTTAAATCGTTTGGTGTAATTCAATAAAGCCACAGGTGTTCACTGTTCAAATGAAATGCAGTTAGATTTCAGGTTATAGAACATATTCTACTGGGCTAGTAAAAAAACAAAACAAAACAAAAAAATCCTCAAGCCAGTGATGGTAACCATATTCTCATGCAATCAGCCTTTATGAAACCCTGTAAATGTATTATTTTTATGTCTACAGTGAACACAAAGTTTTGGGATAAAATAAAACCCCTTGAGGCAAAGACTTTAGAGACATTATCTGTTTAATAAATATGATTGTAAAAGCAATAAACAAGAGCAATTATACATTGCACTACATAGTATTTAACAAAAAATACATCAAAAAGTCATTTTAAAATTAGAAGTAGTTCCAATACTATAAGAAAACTTTCGTTGTTTTTAAATTGGCTTTCTATAAAAATAAGTTGGCAAATGAGGGGTTTCAATGCTCAGTTGGAATCCTGGAAAACACAGAACAGCTGCCAAGCACCTCAGTGCTCTCAAAGTTGCTGTTTGGAACTTCTGGAAAAAAAAAAAGCACAGCAAACCTCTGCATTTTGGACAGTGAATCCAATTAGGAATAAAGCTAGGGAGAAAATAATGGTTGGGTAGCTCAGGGTACAGCACGCACAGTTTGCTGTCTGGGGTTTTATAAAATGTTGCAGTTTCTGATTTTCCACTTGCTCTGAATAAACCTTTCCCACACCTCCCTCTCCACACTCCTCTGGCCCTATGCGCAGCAATCTCGTTTTGTTTGCTATCAGCGAGCAGGTAGGCACTTGAGCCCCTCCAATTGGCAGGTGCTCCTTATTTCATTTTGGGGACTGAGTGGGAATGTCATCGCCTAGTGGCTCTCAACTTGAGCACATGTCACAATCACCTGGAGGATTTGCTGAAGTAGGCTGCTGGGTCCACTACTGCCTAGCAATAGTGACTCAGTAGGTCTGGGTAGAGACCAGCCTTTGCAGGTGACACTGGGACTGCTGGCCTAGTACCACACTTGGAGAACCTAGTCAAGGTTAAAAGGAATTTTGAGGCTCCTTCTCAACAGTAAGCCCCGGGCCTCATCTGTCACCTGCAGGGGGCGGAAACTTTGAGGAGAGTCACATGAGGACACTGGTGACGCTGAATTCATATCTGATCAACTTTCGTCATTTTCTAAAATGCCAGGCATCTCACGTCTACCTCTACTTTACACTAGAATGTACAGCCCTTCTTCCCTGTGTCTTTTCATGCATTTAGTTCACTGACAAGCAGTTTTCATACTACTACTCTAGGCAAGGCACTGTGCTAGATTTAGAATGTTATTCTCTTTTTCATAATTTTCTAATTAAGATGAATTGAACTGCAACTCTGAGGACTCCCTGTGATTTCTAAACATATCATCTTCCAGATTAAAATTGGCTCCAATTAAAAAGAATCAATGAAGATGTTCTCTATGCCACTGGAAGCCCAGCAAGCTGGGGATCAATGATGTTCTACAAAGAGACGGTTGCCCCAAGCAGAGTCCACTGCCCTCCTGGGGGTGGGGTATCCTCAGCCAGAAAGCTTTCTGCGTGACTGATAGCAGCTTTTCTACTCGTCCTGTGCCTGAGCTACATCAGGGTAGGGATAGCCAGGATCATTTGGATGTCCTCATTCACAGCCCCTCTTTTACACCTGTTATTGGACTAGAGACACAGCCAAGAAGGCGGCTTTTCTGAGTGGTCAAACAGAACTGCTCCCTTCTGCTCTTACAGTGGGCTTTGCCAGGCATAGTACTGAAGGGGATTCAGTAGCAGACAGGCTTTATTTCCTTCTTTCATGATTGCCCTTGGAAAACTGGGATTGCTTCACGCTTTGAGAGTTTGAGGATTGTGAGGATCTCTTTCACTTTATTGTAGTTAGCTAATTCCTCCAATTCATACGAACTTACTTTTCCTTTACTGATACCATGATACTCAAATATCAGAGATCACATGTGAGATCACTGGGATCTTCCTAAATAATCAAAATCTCACCCTAAGGTAAGATGAGACCTATTTTCTCAGATTTTTGGACATTCTTAAACATTAACTCCACTGACCTGCTTCTCCTGTTAAAATCAGTTTTATTTTACAAATATTTTTATTCCACTGTAAGACAGGAATATTGGGCATCAGCAACTATCACAGGAAGAAATTCCCCTGCAATATGGTTATATGCTCAAAACATATCTCACAAGTCTTCCAGAATCTGACCGCACAATGTGTTAATGTGTGAGAACATTGCCATTGGCCTGTATGCTTTCTTTTCCAAAGTATACAGCCAAATTTGGATTGCTTTGCACATGTCAACTCTTTCACACACATTGTATGTTTCCAGGTGGGAAAAGGTGGGGGTATTTGGGAAAGGTGGGCTCCGGAGGAAGAGACAAGGGGTCCATAGAACTGATCCCTGCTGGGCAGGATGCAATTTGGTCAGTGTGCAGGGAGCCTGGCATGCTTGGCCATGTACAGAACTGATGGAGATCAAGACCTGTGAGTGGTGAGTTAGGGTTGGCAGAGCTAGGGAAGTACTCTAGAAACATCAGCGTCCATGTCCAAAATCAAGCAACATGGTTGTGAAGAAAAAAATCAGAACACTTGAGAGATAAACTTTGGGGTTGGAAGGAAAATATTTGAAGGCATCAAAAGATCTTGGCCACGCATGAATGGCAAACCAATGGGAAGGCAAAACAACAGCTAACTACTGGGAAAATGCCATTTTCTACATCATTTGGGAGAAGAACAAGGAAAGCTGCAAGAGTGAAGTATTGGATGGGAAACAATGATCCATTTCTGACATGCTGTTTCCCCGCTGGCTGTCCTCCCTGGTGTACCTCATACATGGATCTTTAACTCGCAGCTTTGTCTCTGTGGCCACAGAGGAGAGAGAGAGAGAGAGCAGACTGTGGCCACTGCTAACGAACAGGGCTACCAAACCTAACTCAGAAGGGAAAAGGACACTAAGGATGGTGGGACAGAGAAACACCTCAGGGTTTCAGACTCCTGTGCATGTCTTATGAAAGGGCCTGAGATGGCTAATCCACCCCTCAGCCTGCACTGCTAAAAGAACTGTTAAATCTAAAGCCAAGAATATTTCCAAAAATGCATGCAGATTTCCTTGGCCTATATATGTTATGAATGTTCTACAAACACGATCGATCAGAAAAAAGAGAAGAAAGGGAGAGGGGAGTGTTTTCCATTAAAATAGAGCACCTGTACACTGCCCCTCCAAACACGTTCCCAAGTTAGTATCCACATGCACAGGCTTTAAAGCTAAAAACCCTTGAAGTCTGTGTCTGAAGAATTAAAAAGTCCCGATGCAGTGAGTGTTTGTTTTGTTTGGTTTGGATTTTGATTGTTTTTTTTAAATTTCATTTTATTTTTTGTTTTGTTTGTTTTTACTGGCGTCCTCCATTCAAACATTTACATAGGTAGGGATTTCTTTTGTGCTTTGATTCTCAGCAACTATGGAAATACTTCCTGGCAAAATAGGAAACAGAACAACAAAGGAAAGAAGAAGAAGAAAAACATAAAGTTAGTGGTCATGAGGGTGATGCACTTGACAACTGCGAAACTTTCCTGATGGTCGCCTGCAGCCTTTGGGGGTTCTCCTTAGATTGCAAATTGTGCCCCAGCAGATCCCCGCTTTGGCGTTGAAGGCGGAGTGGCGTGTCTTGCTCTTTGCAATCGGAGAGATGCGTCACCAGGTTGAGTAGAAGGGGAGGGAGGGGAGGGTAAAGCTACTCTCCTAAGAGAAAACGTGTAACACTTACTCATTTAATGACACTGGCAATGGAAAGCTGTCAGAGGAGGTAATGTACTTTGAGATGTCCCTGGTGAGGGAGGAACTGCTTACTTTAATAAGTAAATAGGCGCTATGCTTCAGATCCCGTGGAAATGGGACTGAAAATCAAATGACACCCCCGCCCCGCAAAGCAGCGTGTTCAACACTTTAGCGGTGAATAGACAGGGTGAATTCTTCTCTGGACATGAAGGGCAGAAAAGCCTGTTTCCTTTTTAACCCAAATCTATTACATATTTAGCACCCTGTCTCCCCCAATAAAAGAAAATGCACGGTGAAAATTGGACACCAGATGTGGCTGCAGCTGTTATTACTATCTATGATGTGATACAAGTTATTCATTGCATTTAACTTTCCCTCCTGTAGCCACAGACCTTTCTCTTCTCCACTTAAGAAAAGGGTTCGGTTCCCTTTTACAGATTTATTTTTTCCCCCGACTAACAGATTAAAAATTTTGTGAAAAGGTATTCTAGGAACTCTGGTATTATGAAGCACGGATGATTCTATCATTTATCCACCTCAGCCAGCAATGCAGGGTCTAGATGTAAATATTCGCAGACTCAACCCCTGCAACCAACAGACCGGAGGAGCCGAGGAGAGACACGAGTCAGCCATGGTAGCTCCGTGGGATCATCTAAAATCCTGGACAACTTCCTCTGCAGTAAATGGGATTTAGGACCCAAAGTTCAGATTCTACACCTAGATGTAGAATTCCCAAGTTTATTTCATGGGGGAGGAGGGGCCCATTGAGTATGAGGAAGTCCATTTCAGGACTCTGGGCAAGAGGCAGCCAAAGAGGAGGACAGTGTGTGCCCACCGACCCTGTGCTCTGTCCCTCCGGAGCCCCACACCTGCAGCTGCTGCAGACCTGGTGCCTCTTGTCAAGTTCTCAGATTCCACATTTCCTGGGGGTCAGCTGCTAGATCATGGCTAGATTTCAAATAAAAACACTCGGGTGGTTTGCCTAGCCAATTTCATTATGTCCCTGCCCCGTGAGGGTTGCAGGGCACGTTGCCCTCCTCAGGCCTGCGTTTAGTTCCTTCCACATCTCCTTCCCGTCAGCACACACACAGCAGCTCAAACCCTGCCCAGCCACCAGCCCACCAGCCCAGCCTCTGAGAGCGCTCCCTCTTGTATGTTGTTAGAGCAAAATCGAGGTTACTTTTTCATTAACACTCTGAGTCAGTTTTTTAGGGAAAGTTTTTGCCAAAGAGAAGAATAAATTAATGAGAGGGAACAAATTAGACAGGAGTGAGAAAGAGGCATCTTAACTGTTTCTGCAGAGGTGTTAGGGAAGAAAAAATAGTGATGTCAAGCCAGAAGGGGTTAGAGGGGAGAGTCCGCCATCCACTACTCAGGCTGGACGTGTGCAGGCTACCAAATCATTTACCTATGAGCGGTGGCTCCACCTTCTCATCTACGAGCTGGCCAGGCCTCCTCAGTGCAGTGTGAGGGACACCGGGCCTGCTCTCAGTGTGACTGCCTGGACTGAGTGCCTCTTGTTCTTTCTCATTCTGCATCTGGGCATAAACATTAATTCCCGGGATCTTCCTAAAACATTAACAGAAACCGTCACTGCTCTGCACTGGCAAAACACGGTAGGGCCGCTGACGTGCACGTCTGAGCCTGTCAGAAAAGGGAAGCAGCCGGGAGCCCAGGAAGGAGGGACACGCACCTCTTAAACTTGTAGATGACGAACACAGCCAGGCCCACGAACACCACGGAGAGCAGCATCAGCATGGCGGATCCACTGTGGGTCGGGGTGAGGTCCACCAGGGGGGCTGAGGGAGGAAACCAGCAGCATTACAGGCAGGGACGTGTGCAGTCCTCAGGCAGGCTGGGTGGGTCCCCGAAACCCACGAGGGGCACACACACAAGCACAGCAGGCGTGTGTGAGTCTGCCCGGCCCCCAGTGTTGCGGACTCGGCACTCGGGGTCACATCTTCCAGACCCACTCTACCACTTGCTGCCTGTGAGTTAAGTGCAAACTAAGTACAAACTAAGTTACGCACTTAGCGTGGCCTCCGTGGTTAGAGGAGAATAAGAGCACCCACCTCACTGGACGGTCGTGAGGACAAAATGAGCTAACGTGTCTCACTGTTAACCCAGCTGTAAGGATTAGCTTTTATTTCTACTGGTCATGCTATTAGGAGCAGTGTTACTAGCCGTGCTCCTTGACTTAGGATAGGGTTAGACCCTGATAGACTCATTGCAAGTTCAAAGCATCCTAAGTCAAAAGTGATGTAATATTCAACCTGTCAATCATCACAGGGTGGCCTGGACCATTACAATGTGCTCTGAACACGAACACTAGCCTCAGTAGGGAACAAATCATCTAACACAAAGTATGCTTTATAGCAGTGTTGACTGCCTCACATGTTTCACTGAATAAGGCACTGAAAGTGAATGAAAGAGTGGTTATATGTTCAAACCTCTGCATGACTACAAATCGCACATCCTCATGTCCGACCATCATAAGGCGCCACTTGTATTTGTAAAAACATAATATACTCATTATTAAACATTCTTGTGCTCTTTTTCCCACTTAGCACAGCAGACAACCAGGAAAATCATCAATCATTATATTTTCATGAATTATCTAACCCCACAACTACCCCAGCTGTTCTGAGAAAGAACTAGACAGTGGTGGGGCAGGCCTGTGTTTTGGCCACAGAGAACGCGTGGCTAAGTGTACATGGACAACCACTCAGATGCTGGAGTTGAGGTGTCCCAGACAAGGTATATGCCACAAAATCCCAAAGTCCTCATGAAATTCTGCTCTCTCCAGCACTCTGACCTCTCCAGACAAAGCAAAGAAGCTGCACGCATGAATCTCCCTGAGCTTTCCTCTTACAGTGCAGAGTGGGACACATCTCTTTCCATCCCCTGATCTTCTTCCATTTCAGGCTCAAACCTGTTGTACACATAATGACTCTGTTCGCAATTAATTTCTACCCTCTCAAAAACTGACATTTTGCAAATATGGCATAGCTCAAGCCTAAAAAGAAATTCAGTACACTCTGTGCAAGCCAGGACGCTGACCTTTTCCTCCCATCAATTTAACCAAAGTCTGATACCATAAATGCAGGTGACCTTTAAAGGCCCATTCTCTGTGACCTGTCTCTGTTGAGAGTGGAGAAGGCACCATCCTGGACATTCAGGTAAAGAGGTTCCGGAACAAGAGACTGTGACTGTAATGGTCTCAGACAGGGCCTGTCGCTGTCTGCTCTGTCTGGTGTGCGTAGGGGGTTACATCCCAGCTTCTCGGTGGCCACTGCGGCAAAGCACATTTCAGACAACCACAGCATTTTGGTGAAAAATGGGAGCGCAGCCTTCTTTCTCAGAAAACAGGCTTCTTCGGTTTAGTAAATCTGCTTTTGGGGAGCACTGCGTATAAGGAAACCCCTGCTGTTCTCTCTGCCCCGTGAGTAAAGCAGAGTCATCTGTGGAGCGGGGACGTGTCTGGGAGGCGAGGGGTACAAGGCAAATGTGCCTTTCATCTGTGATATGGAAACAAAGCCCTCAGTGCCATCCACAGAGCCAGAACTCCTGAGCACTCCCACTGCGTTGGCAGGGTGTCGTCAAGGGGACAGAGCACCTTCTGCTTTCCCAGGCATTAGCTCCACTGATTGTTTTTTTCACAGGCAGAAAGCAGGGACCAAGATCCCCATTACACAGATAAAAACTATGAAGGTTTCACTGGGTAATGTCATTCCGGAGGCCTCGGAACTAGTAAACCACAGCACAAATTACTTGCACACACATACACACATGTGTGCATACACACAGGCACATTTTCTGTACACACCCAGCCGGTGGGAGATAATCAGAAATGTAAGATACTGACAGGAGACATAAGTTAAAATAATTTTAAAAGTGGATGGAATCCTACCGCCAACTCTTAATTCAGATCCTATATATACACACATACATAAGTGTGCATATGGGGGAGAGAGGGAGACAGAGAGAGAGAGAGAGAGAGAGAGAGAGAGAGAGAGAGAGAGAGAGAGAGAGA